TTGCAATGTTCGAAAATCACAATCTGTTAAAAATCAGTTTTAGAACATGAAATCAAGTACAAATCATAAAAATTTATTTTTTTCAAGGAAATTTTATTAAAAACTTCAATTTGAATCAATTTTAAAATTTCGGACTTAAGTTCGCATTTTCGAATTTTCGAACATGGCTCAAAACCACAGAATTTTGCTAAAAATGTTAAATAATTACAAAACTTAAAGCAACAAATCGTATTTCAAGCTAATTTACAGAAAAATTTCAATGTTCGAAAATCAAAATCTGTTAAAAATCAGTTTTCGAACATGGAAATCAAGCTCTAATCATAAAAATTTGAATTGTTTTAAAGAAATCCTATTAAAAACTTCAATTTGAACTAATTTAAAAATTTCGAACTTAATTCGAATTTTCGAACTTAATTTCGAATTTTCGAACATGACTTAAAATCAACCAATTTTGCTTAAAATGTTAAAGAATTGATTGAAAAAAATTGTATTTTAAGCAATTTTTTTAAAATTCGAATAAAAACTGTTCAAAAAAGCTCAATTTAAAAAGTTTTTCACCTTATTTGATGCAGAATAGTAACTGTTAAACATCATAAAAAGCTTGATAATTACCCAATATATTAATTAAAGCCACTTGTTGTAAATCTGCTGTTTTTTGGAAAATTTTGAATGTTATAACTAAAACAAACCTAAAGAAAAGCTATAAAGTTTACTCATGCCACTTTATTTCATTTAAAAAAGTTCAACTAAAATTTTATTTTGTTGCTAATTGGGTTAAATTGAAATAAATTTAAATAGAAAGCAAATTTAGCTAAGAAGACTTAGGCTTGTTAAATGTCTAAAATAAGTAGAAATGTTACTACCGTTTCTTTGCTAAATGTTTACAACAACTAATATCTAAATGTAATCAAATTGCTTAGAAAAACTTTGTTTTTCTATTTGCTTTCAAAGTGACAAATTTTCGTCTAAAGCCTGTAAAGAAAGAAGTCTATTATTTTATGACATGTTTGTTCTCTCAGCTATAAAACAGCAAATCAAATTAAATTATGGAAAATTCAATTTTCATTTTCTAAAGATGCAAAATGATGCGTTGATGATACTGATGATGATGATGATGTTGTCAATAATAGACAAATGGTTTTGAAAAAAAGTAAAAGGGAGGGTGAGGTTTTTTATCAAAGTAATTTATATTTTGACAAAATTTGTATTTGACATTGACAGCCAATTGATATAAATTTTACAACACTTTACGTTACTCCCTGGGAAAGGGGGTAGTTTTTATTTTATTGTATGCAAAGTGTTTTTAATAAAGACTAATTATAATATAATTACTTTAAGGCTGCTGCTTGAGTTTAAATATATCATTTACATTTTACGTTTTCTTATTAGTAATTGAATTTATAAATTCATTTATTTCTATTTCTCTAATACTGTTATTTCTTGCTAAATATTCATTTCCCATCAATTGTTTTTTAAAACATTTTTTTTTATTAGAACAGCTGCTTTTTTTGTTCTAATTCTTATGCATTTGAATTTCCTTTAGTTTTCTTTAAAAATTCAGTTTTTTTCTAATTGTTTCCTAAGCAATCATCAGCCTTAACAAGTTGTAATTAATTATACAATATTTTCTATTATTTATTAACATTATTAATTTTTGAATTTCAGTTTTTTTTTTTAAGTTTTATTTGTTTAGTCTATTGTATTACATATTTGCACTCAAACGTGTTGTTAAATATAGTGTTTACTACTCGTAGTTAGTTTTATTTGTTTATTACTTGAGATTAAGCGGTAATTATAATCGTATTTGTAGTAAAACTTAATTGAGTCGGTGTGAACTTATATAGTTATAGTTTTTAGCATGTTGTCAAAGTTAAATGGCTTGAGTTATATGTTACGTATAGACAGACAGGTGTGTAAATAAGTTTAGTTGTTGTTGTGACAGATGGGAGTAGAAAAAAAGGTGTTAATTTCACTTTTCTAGTATGACTCCTCCCCTAACTGATTCATTGTTCTAGTTTAGTTATTATAAAAAAGGTGTCAGTCTTCTCCTCTAAATCAGAACTAGAACCGATACTAACACATAATGAACCACTCATCCTACTTGTTGTTTATCTGTCTAGAGAATGAAATGATCGAAACTTCTATACTTTCGCTTTATTTCTTTCCATTTTCCTTTTTACTCCCTTTCTCCCACTTTATACGGTTAAACTTTAACCGTTAAAGTGTTTTGTAGCGGTTGTGAGAACGTCAATATTTATTGCATAATTAAAGCGAAATAATCACGAAAAAAACCATTCCTATGATTCATGGACAAGATCTATTTGGAGATCTTAAACGATCTTGAAGACATAGTACTGCAGTCTATTGAATTCTTAGGCACGATCCTCTCTTAATGTTTTGTTTAATGTAAATGATCTCTTAGTTAGTGATCTCATCACAACAGGGAATATATTAGTCGCGTTTTTAGGTATTGATGCTTAAGTCATAATATCTTTCAGAAAGTTCTCTTCTACGGGTTCTAGGAAGCAAAAGTCAATATAGTACTATGCCAAGACACATGGTAAAAATCTTCGCTGGGCCATGCATAAGGTCATAATATCCACATGATCTTACGATTCCAGAAACATGTTAATAACTCCAGCCTACCGATTTTAATCGACAGTGCTTATATTATAACAATTTGGTGTCTTGCTTCCCAGGTGACTGACGGACAAGTTTAAGGATAAAACTAAAGGCAAACTCCAAAAATGGGAGGTCTAAATAACATTCTAAGTCCAATAACTAGTCAAGAGTTTCTAGAATGTCGCAAATTAAGCTATTCATGAACTGTTTGATCGCGCTAATTATAAGGCAGACCTTTTCTCATAGTGAAAGCTCTCAATACGAATATGCTCGTAGACCTGGGGGAAAAATCGCTAAAAAAGAGAAACATTCGAGAGATCGACAATCTCTGAACCAACTGCATCATCAACGGCTTATGCAGTAAAGGTTGACTTATAAGTACAAAGCCGCTCTGATAGAGGTAGAATAATATTCAGAGTTTCCGAGAGTTCGATAGACTCTGAACCAAACACTCATCCACTAGAGGAACCTTAAATTGGCAGATCTCGCTATTAATATAAATAGTCCAATATCTCGTTTAGATTCGCCGAGGAATCAAATACAAATTACTCCATTACGATAACGAATACCGAACGCATTTTTGATACAATACTGACAAGATCTCGCTATTAATATAAATAGTACAATATCTCGTTTAGATTCGACGTGTAATCAAAAACAAATTACTTTATTACGATAATGAACGCATTTTTGATACAATACTGGCAAGATTTGTCGATAATAAAGGATAATCCAATACTTTAGCATATATTCGAAAGACCTTCTTAAAAATGCATACTAAAGCACCTCGTTTCGACTCTGAGAAGATTTATTGAGATTACGGAGTAATCCAGGTTTGATTGGTGAGTAGTGTAGTTCGGAGCTAGTGAATCAGCACCCAAGATTCTTCCTCGGCAATTGGACACAGTATTTATTCAGAGGTTTCTTCCTGGTAGCTACATAATCTACATAGTTTCAATATGGCGTTTCCTAGAATGAATTGGTAATATCTGAGACCACCGCAGTGTCCTGTGAGTTATCTTGTTAGTATTCCAAGATCATTTTTGTTAAGCGATAATAACTCTAACTATACGACTAATACTAATGGACTAATGATTGACTAGTGTTCTTTCCAAACAATAAACATAATAACGGAAGTGCAACCTTATATCACGTGTTAGAAATTGGATCATTCGAAAGACGGGTTCAGTGATAATCACAGCAGTCGCTAGACTAGCTCTGTAACTATCTGGAGTTCCGCTTTAATAACGTTAGAGAAGATGAATTGAACTATATGAATGGATTTTTCTTCATTTTTCTCTGGGCTCCGCTTTAATAACCTCAGAGAAGAAGAATCGAACTATAAACTATATGCAAAGAAGCAGCCGCGAAACTAGCTCTGTGACTATCTCGAGTTCCGCTTTAATAACTTTAAAGAAGATGAATGGAACTATAAACTATCTGCAAAGAAGCAGATGCGACCCTAGTTCAACTACAATTCTCTACTTAATAGCTCTAGATAAGGTGGTAGAACTAGAATATTTCCTCAATTAACCATCTACTAGACTAGATCAGAGTCAGTTTTCTTCCATCTTTTATATTTTGTCTTCTCTAATACATTTAACTTTGATAAACTATTTCATTAGGAAAGCTCCTTAAATATCTAGTTACAAAACCACCATGATATGCAAAATTTAAATCTTCTTTATCACTATGGACTACCTTTAATATAATTTCCCTAATCGTACTCAATGATGATTTAAAAAAGCCCTTTTAAAATCCTTCAATAAAACCAATTGTAATCACATCATAAAAATTATTATAACAGCAACAGGTATTTACATTGAAATTCAATGTTGAACAAATATAAAGCGGATTACAATTTTACAACCTAAAGAAAAAAGGTCGTAATAAAAATATAAAACAAATTAAAATACAACAGAAAATTGGGAAATAAAACAATGACTTAAAACTGTGGGAAATTTAGAAAATAACCCGTGAATATGTTAATAATTTTTTTAAACAAAATTTCAAATGAATAATTTAAATAAAAATAAAAAGTAAAGCAAACAATTTAAAAAAAACATCAAGTTAAATTTATATTTAATTATAACAATGTTGCTTGCTCTCCTTAGGAATGAGGGGATGATTTATGTCTGTATTTAATAGGATTATTTAAGCATTAACTTTGGCAAAAATCAAATTAACATTAAGTTAAGCACAGAAAGAAGAAACAGAAACAAAACTCTTAGCAGATGTTTCCGCTTTTTGGAAGAAATTTTGTAGACAGGTTGAAGTTTAGCTTAAAATTAATTAAATGTTATTACAACTTATTTTTTTTTTTTTGTCCTCACACACACCTAATGACAATAATCTTTTCTTGTTTTTTTTATTTACAGTAATATTTCTGTAACGCAATGCAATCGACTGATACTGGTGGTGAATTGAGACAACAGCATAACACATCATCAACCGCGACGACGAATTCCGCCAAGACGGGCATCAACGAAACGACAACATCCTTCACCACTACCAATACACCGAACTCAACAGCACTCAACAACGATACACCTAGTAAGAATCCCTTCAAACAGCAACTAAGTCAACGACAGCAACAGCAGCAACATAATCAAAATGGCCACTCGGATGCGGCCCACAATGCCGAACGTGGCAGTAACCTTAGTGGCATATTGGGTGTGGGTGCTGCATCAGCAACCTCCAACAATGATCACAAAATGACCTCACCCTCGGGTAATGGCAGCGGTCAAGCTGGAGCAGCTGGTGGTGGCAGTGGACCACCTATACCACCACCAGATCATAGTCGTCAAGAAGATTATAGAGCTGCCGGGTCCTGGGCCGCCTTTAAGAATTGGATGATCGGATGGCGTGGTTCCAGACGTTTGGTATTGGTAATTGTGGCCATTGCTTTACTTTTGGATAATATGTTATTGACTACAGTCGGTAAGTAGCTTTTTTTTAACTATTAATCAATTTCCTTTTCGTTATGTGGAAGACAAGAAATTAATTGAAACTGCTTCAATTTAATCATTTATATTTACTCTCCTTCTCCAATTTACGTGTATTTGTCTTGTTAACTGACAATTTATTTCCTTTACTTTGTGCAACGTATGCCATACGACAGCAATAATGGGTTACGCAGCTCTTTGTCCACAACCAATCAAACTTTAAGTACTTTTTCAACTTATTTGTCTGACAAATACAAACACACTCATATACACGCACTTAAGTAGCTGGAATACCAGATGGTAGGAAGGGGGAAGAGCAGCTATTAGTATATTGGCCATAAATTCTGTTGCAAACACTTATACACACATACATACATTACTTGTCATACTGACACTTTTCTCAAAGGAATCAATTAAATAAACACTTAAAGGCAATAAGCAAATATTTCAAACGTTTCTCTTTATAAAGGAAGATTGAATAGAGTTAAAGACGAAGAAGAAATGGAAATTATATATAAAAGTGGAACAATTCGTCGTACCCAGATAGCTTTCTCATAGAAAAGCGTCCTCATAAGATGGTATTATCTTAAAAAAGTGTCTTTTGAAGGAAGTTTTCGTATAAAAGTGTCTTATTAAGACAGTTTTTTTATAGAAAAGTGTCTTCTTAAGACAGTTTTCTTATAGAAAAGTGTCTCCTTAAGACAGTTTTCTTATAGAAAAGTGTCTTCTTAAGACAGTTTTCTTATAGAAAAGTGTCTTCTTAAGACAGTTTTCTTATAGAAAAGTGTCTTCTTAAGACAGTTTTCTTATAGAAAAGTGTCTTCTTAAGACAGTTTTCTTATAGAAAAGTGTCTTCTTAAGACAGTTTTCTTATAGAAAAGTGTCTTCTTAAGACAGTTTTCTTATAGAAAAGTGTCTTCTTAAGACAGTTTTCTTATAGAATAGTGTCTTCTGAAGACAGTTTTCTTATAGAAAAGTGTCTTCTGAAGACAGTTTTCTTATAGAAAAGTGTCTTCTGAAGACAGTTTTCTTATAGAAAAGTGTCTTCTGAAGACAGTTTTCTTATAGAAAAGTGTCTTCTGAAGACAGTTTTCTTATAGAAAAGTGTCTTCTGAAGACAGTTTTCTTATAGAAAAGTGTCTTCTGAAGACAGTTTTCTTATAGAAAAGTGTCTTCTGAAGACAGTTTTCTTATAGAAAAGTGTCTTCTAAAGACAGTTTTCTTATAGAAAATTGTCTTCTTCGAACAGTTACCTATAGAAAAGAGTCTTCTTAGGGCAGTTTTCTATAGAAAAGAGTCTTCTTAAAACAGTTTTCGTATAGAAATTCGTATAGAAATTGTCTTCTTAAGACAGTTTTCGTATAGAAAAGTATCTTTTTAAGACTGTTTTGTATAGAAAAGTATCTTCTTAAGTCAGTTTTCTATAGAAAAGTATTTTCTTAAGTCAGTTTTCTATAGAAAAGTATCTTCTTAAGTCAGTTTTCTATAGAAAAGTGCTTTCTTACGTCAGTTTTCTATAGAAAATGCCTTCTTAAGTCAGTTTTATATAGAAAATTTCATCTTCTTAAGACAGTTAAGTCTGTGAAGTCTTATAGAGAAGCGACTTCTCGATGCAATTTTCTTTCACATCTAAACAACTACTGCAAGAACTGTTCCGTGTGTAGCCAATACGATCTGACATGGATCTTATAATAGAAGCATTAACCGATTTCGATCAAGGTCAAAGAAAGTCAAGGTATTTTCAGTAAAAGCTCGAGAGATTTAGCAAAGGTATAGAAGGTCTTATTTATCTCTCAGATTTACATTTCCCCAAGATGTTGGAGTCCTAAATGACGCCAAGATATTTGGATTCCCCTCTTTCTTCTGAAATGTCGAAATTCTGGAATTTTATAACATCTACTATAAGTTCCAATTCAGCCTTTATCTCTTACCCAACACTACCTTTTCTTTTCCCTTGAAAAAGAAAAAAAACATTTTACTGACTTAATAGAAAGCACTTTTTTTCAAAATGACTATTTGAATTTTAACAGACAATTGTTAAAACGGTAGAAAAAAAACTCAAATATTTGTACATGACACAAAGACCACAAGTGTATAGAGATTTAAACAAATTCCCCAACAAATTCAAACAAAAAATGAAACGAAATAAAAAAAACTAAATGCCAAAAAAAAACTTCAACAACTACTTGTTGAAACCTAAAAGGGAAAAGCAAAAGTATGGAAACGGAAGTCACTAAGTCATACAAAGAACATTTTTTTTTTCTACACAACGAACATAGACAAGGATAATAGCAAGAAAATAAATATGTAAAAGAAAAAACTAAAATATCTATAAATGCTTAAGAAAACTTGAAAAAAAGGGGGAAAGGACTTCTACTAGATTTTTCCAGTTTTTGCACTTTATTAAGGAAATCTAACTTTTACTGTGTGTGTGTGTTTGTTGGAGGGTAAGATGGTATAATAAAGTTTACCTTAAGTGGCTACATTAAAGATAAATCTAACATTTACTTTTATCTGACTTTATTTGAGTTCAAGTGTGAAACGTTCTTGTTAAACATTTATCCTGTTTTAGGAGGGGGGGGTGAATTGCTAAGGTAGAATGACATTTAAAAAGGTGTGCAAAAATTTATTCATGTTATTTGCTTAATACAGGCCAAAGAAAAGAAAAAGATTTCCAAATCATTAAATTAATTTACTAAAAGAGTGTTAGTTATGTAATAGAAAAAAGAAATATGTTTTATTTTTTGTATAATAAAGCAATAAATTTTATTAAGAGTTTTATATAAATAATGTTTAGTGTTAACGTTGAGAGCTAAAATTTTGGTTTATCTTTTTGTTTGTTAATAATATATTTAGAATTGTAAATTAATCTCGAGAGTTAACTTTTAACTATAGATCAAAATTAATGTATGTTTTGATACTTCTACTTAATCATTGGTTAGTTTTATAAATGTTTATTTTAGATTGTGATTATATACACTTTCATTAACTAAAGTGTTTTAGTTTTGCATTAAAATCACAATGTTCTTTGTATAAATTTATCATTTCTAAAAGATATAAAGTATCTCTTAGGTATTGGACAATTTCCAAATGATTAAACAAAGAAAGAAATAAACAAAACGGCATTAATGGAAGCTATTTTTGGAATATGTTTAACATTCATAAACTTCCGTTAAGAACGATAATGGTAGTGGCAGAGCATTCTCTTCCTTAACCTCACCTATTATCTATACGATTGAATCCAAATACATGGGATGTAGATCTAACGTTATTAGGTCTATCGTAAAGTAATCTTTTTTTGTTTCACGAAAGTCACTTTTCTTTCTGACAATGATGAATCATTTGAAGCTGAATCTAAAGAAAGTAGCAGATCTTAAGAACGATAATGGTAGTGGCAGAGCATTCTCTTCCTTAACCTCACATATTATCTATACGATTGAATCCAAATACATAGAATGTAGATCTAACGTTATTAGGTCTATCGTAAAGTAATCTTTTTTTGTTTCACGAAAGTCACTTTTCTTTCTGATAATGATGAATCATTTGAAGCTGGAGTTAAAGAAAGTAGCGGATCATGCTGATATATCGGTTAACAATGCTTTAGACAAAACAAGGACCGAATTATGCACTAATTGATCGAGTAATTGATCGTTGGCATTCGATATCGAACAAGAAATCAAGTACATTTGTACATAATATCGATTCGAAACGTATTTACGATACGAAAGCTTATCCGAAACGGTAATTCGGTCCCACATTATGAGTATTGCAAAGGCCCTAGAGAATCGACTTTCATTGATCTGTTAATAAAACTGACAAAATTCTCTTAAATTTAACTTATATATGATATATTCATACTACACATGTGATCTAAGGGCATCGAGGATACATTGATTTAAGACCATTCTCGGCCGATTATTTAGTTGAAAGAAAATTTTACTGAGAACAAATTTTGACTTATTTTGATTTAAGTTGTTACATCATACGCCCTATAATATTTAACACTATTTTGATTACGAAAATACTGGGACTCTAGGTCGGCCAGAAAAGGCTGATAGTTCAAACTAGAACAGATTCCTTATTCACAATCACAATGATTTTGTGGAATATTTCAAAAAACTTTTATTCAAGCTTTAAAATATATATATTTATTATTTATATTTAAAAAATTATTGCCAATAGTTTAATTTCTTTAAGCCCCATTATCTCAAACTCCAGTTATCGTTTGCCGCCTTGATATACTACCGATTAAAATAATTTTTATATAAAAGTTTTACACACGACAAAAAAATAACTAGACTTTAAGAAAATGGTTAAAAATCGTCTTAATTTTTCTTAAGCAGTTTTCAAGTTCAACTTTTTAATCACAAATTCTTTAAGCTTTCCAATGGTATACTCCTTAAATAACAAAAAAATCGTATATACACTTCTTTAAATTCTCACTTATTCACCCTGCTGTAGTTTCCTTTAAGTCTGTTCTTTATCCTTTATATCCAAAGTATCCAATTTTTGCAAGACTTTTCTTTCCAAATCCTGCTGCTCCTCCTCCTCCTCAGAATCTGAACCTTTATCCTGAGTCTTCTTACCCTCTGTACATTCCCTTGATGCACTACGACTAAAGGGAAAAAAAGCTTGCACTTGTCGTTGTAAAACTTCTTTATTAATGGTATTTTCCAAAATTTGTTGATTTATAATGGCGGCATAACGTTCCTCAAAACTGTGCTGATGTTTTAAGGGGAACACAGGTGATTCGCAGCGTGAGGAAGTAGCTGAATTTTCGGCTTCCTTAGAATCTTGTGTAGACATGCTTATGGAAAAGTTTTCTCTTAAGATTTAAGTTTTAATTTTCCGTTTAATTTTTGTTTTCTTTTAAAGAAACAACCGTAGTTATTGACAGTTAAAGTTGTAATGTTAATATGTGTGCATTTGTTTAATAATATTTAGTGGATTTTTATGTATTTTCTGACTTATTCTTATACTTGTTCTTTTATTTTTATTTGTTTTATTGTGCTTATTTTTAGATTGTCTGCCATAGATATTTCACTCAGTTTGTCTGTCATAATTTGGGTTTTGTTTCAAGTTTATTTACATTTTTGCTATTTTGCTTTTTTGTTTAATTTGTAATGGTATGGTAACATGTGCAAATGTTTTTACTTGTGTGGATAATAGTGATGCCAACTATATTTTAGTCTGAACTATAATGAACAATAGCCTTGGCTATTGTCTGCACTATAGTCTGGTCTATCTGATCTGGTCTGAAATATAATCTGAACTGCAGTCTGGGCTTTAGTTTGGTCTCAACTACGGCGAGTCTGGACTTTTTTCTCAGTTCTGCTCTATATTCAGAACTATATTTTGGACAAGAACTTAACTTGTACACAACTTGAACTGAACTAGAACTGAACTAAAACTGAACTAGAACTGAACTAGAACTGAACTAGAACTGAACTAGAACTGAACTAGAACTGAACTAGAACTGAACTAGAACTGAACTAGAACTGAACTAGAACTGAACTAGAACTGAACTAGAACTGAACTAGAACTGAACTAGAACTGAACTAGAACTGAACTAGAACTGAACTAGAACTGAACTAGAACTGAACTAGAACTGAACTAGAACTGAACTAGAACTGAACTAGAACTGAATTAGAACTGAACTAGAACTGAACTAGAACTGAACTAGAACTGAACTAGAACTGAACTAGAACTGAACTAGAACTGAACTAGAACTGAACTAGAACTGAACTAGAACTGAACTTGAACTGAACTAGAACTGAACTACAACTGAACTAAAACTGAACTAGAACTGAACTAAAACTGAACTAGAACTGAACTAGAACTGAACTGAACTGAACTAGAATTGAAATATAACTGAACTAGAACTGAACTACAACTAAAAAGAACTAAACTAAGCTGTTGCCAGAATTATAGGTTCCACCACAGTCTGAAGTACATTCTGAAGTATATAAAAATCACTAAATTGTTAACACTGAGTGATAATTCTTAAAGAAATGGTTTATGAACAACTACCTGCAAAAGGTCACGCAACTTTTTTCGTCCTCTTTAAGCGACATATGACTCATTTTTTTCTAGTATTTTTGCATAGTATTTTAAGTATCTAAAGGCACAACAACAAACCAAAAAAAAAACAAGAAAAATAAAATCAACAAATGTCAAGCAACTATTTCAGGGTGAATACTTCTGTCAACATTTGCATGTCAATTATATTTACTATTTGACGGCTTGGTATTGTTTCAGATATTTTTACGTATTTAAAACTCATAAGATTATATTTCAGTACAAATCAAAAGGACATGTTATTTAAATAATTTTAGTATAAATATATTATATATGAATATTTTATTTTACATATGCAAATGTTTTTGCGAATAGTATATGTAATTGTGTATTTGTATATTTAATTGTTTACTATGTGCATATAAAACTATTAAATAGAAATTTAATGTTATCAAGACATGAACTTTATAGTATTGCTTGTTGTGATTTTCTTTGCTATAGCATTTAATGTTTGTTAATAGCATTTTGTATAGCTTTTTTTAAAAACTTTTTAAACTTAAATAAATCAAATCAAATATTTAAAATTGACATTAAAAAGTTTTTATTAAAAGTTATTGAGATTGCAGTGACAGGTATTAGTTTTCAATGTAATTGGTATGGTAAAATAGGTTTACACTAGCAGTGGATAAAATTTAAACTCTTTAGGATGAAATTAATTGAAATATATTTAAGCATTAAAAAATCCTTATCAAAACCAACCTATCAAAGGTGCCCCTAATCATTGTTTAGAATTAGCAAGTGTTTGAACATCATTAAACCTTTGACGTAAAACTATTACGTCTTTAATGTTTGCTTATTAATACGCAATATTTTGCCAAATGACGTAAAAAATTTTACATGTGTATGAATGAGTAATAAACATTCAATACTCATTAAATAGTTTATATACATGTGTTAGTCTTAATTTGTTATTAATTTCAGTAAAAAAACAAAAGAAATCAACAAACTTTCAAGGTGAAATATTTTTACACTTTTTATTGCATATTAAAGCAAAAACTTTTAAATTTCAAATAAAAAAGAAAGATACAAATAAATATTTTTAAAACATTTCGTGAATTCGAAAAAAAAAAATTATAAAAAGACGTATAATTTATATTAAATATGCAAAATTAAACAACATTCATACGCCCCATATGCTGGGAAATCTTATTAAATATTACTCATACGCCACATATGACATACAAAGATAATATTAAAACCACTTTATTCTTCTTAATATTCTTCTTTATTAAACAATAACCTTTCGCCTTAAACCTTAAAAACTACAAATTTTATGTATCTTTACTTATAAACTCCCTTCCCCTCCAACTCCCTTTTCAAACCACTCTGCCTGATTTCAAACTTTTCTCGATACTGTCGAACCAATTCCTCCAAATAACAATTAAGCTGTTTAGAAATCATAAAAATTGCAAAAAATTGTGCATTACCATAGAACATAAATAGAAATTTATAAAAATTCGATAAAGTTACCACCAAATAATACTTCAACTCGGGAGGTCTTTCGGTTATAAGTTCGAAAAAGTAAATAGAATGCCAAGCCGATACACCCATAGACAACAGCCACACAAACAAAAATGCAAAACTTAAATAATAAACTCTTTGATAAATACACGATACATCGATATCCATTAGCACCAATTCATCTAACACCTTCATATAAAGATTTAAAGAACCCATATGCAGTCGATTACCCAACAAAGGTGGTATGAATATACAAAACGTTAGAAATATATCCAGTAAACGTAAGATCAAATTAGCTATCGCAGTCAGCGATGAATGACCAATCATGGGCTGTGAATAGTCATGCCAATTCTCCAGCAAAGAGGTTATATTTACATAGGCATACATGATCAAATGAAAAACGGTTATTACCAGCAGCTTCCAAGATAGTTGAAACTGATTTTTAGCAGCACAAAAATGAAATGGAAATAAACCAGTAAAACGAAATAGCTGTATGACCAAACCAAAGGCTTCTACTAAATTGCGCGGATTTGCAAAGAAAGTCATGGCCACGTTTCAGGTTGAGTAAATAAGGACTGAATCTATTGCTATTGAAATATTTATATTAAAAACACATTTTTTTAATATTTGCTGCTATTAATTCTGGTTGATTCTTATGGGAAAAGCTCAAAGGTTAAAGTGATGAACTGATTAGTGTATTAAAAAATTAATTCTGAAAACTACTGTTAATAATACAGACAGATTATATCATTTACGTCGGCACAATGGAAAGTTTTAAACAAACTGCACTTGAAAAACATATAAAATTTACATTACAAATAAACATATTTAAACACTTTTCTTCAAAATTAAAATTTTAATTTCTCATCAAAATAAAAATTTTTAAAGAATACTAGATTTGATTTTAGGTTTTTAGTGAAAATTTAAATTTTTAATAAAAATTTTATTTTAGTAAAAATTTAATGTTTTTTTGTAAGAAATTATAATATTCAAAAATAGACCCTTTTTGTAAAAATCGAATTTCCAAAATTTTTTTGAAAACATCTAATATTTTGTGTAAATTCGAATTTTTACCAAAAATCTTATTTTTATTGAACAATAAAATTTTAAGTGAAATTCGCATTATCTAGAAGTGATGAAGAATTGAACTAGACTGGACTAAAACTTAACTAGATCATAACTAGAACTGAACTAGAACTAGAACTATAACTGAACTATAACTGAACTATAACTGAACTATAACTGAACTAGAAATGAAGTAGAACTGAACTAGAACTGAACTAGAACTAAACTAGAACTGAAGTAGAACTGAACTAACTGAACTAGAACTGAACTAGAACTGAACTAGAACTGAACTAGAACTGAACTAGAACTAGAACTGAACTAGAACTGAACTAGAACTGAACTAGAACTGAACTAGAACTGAACTAGAACTGAACTAGAACTGAACTAGAACTGAACTAGAACTGAACTAGAACTGAACTAGAACTGAACTAGAACTGAAATAGAAATGGACTAGAACTGAACTAGAACTGAAATAGAATAAAGTTGAAACATACTTCAGGGAAATTTAGCGAAGAGTCCTATTTTAACCTTAAAAATTTGAGACTTTTGAGACCATTGAAGATTTAAATTCCTATGTTTAGTTTTGTTTTAGTTAATAATTAAATAAATACTTATAGTTATTCAGACAAAAACACTCACCTTTTATTGTTGAAATCCCTTTAGCGCACATCTTTTTTAAACACATTTTTATTTAATTATTTTTTTTAATTTAAATAATTTGAATTTTTTTAACTCATCACTTTTTTAAACACATTTTTATTTCTTTTTAATTTAAATGAATTGAATTTTATTTATTTTTATATTTTTTTATATTTTTTTATTTTTAATTTCAAGATTTTTATCATATATTTTAATTAAACTTTTATTAGAATAATTTTTTATTTAAAAATGAAAAATACAGCTAATACTGCAAATTTACAATAACACTACATTTTCCAACCCTGCTGTAAACACTAATTTCAATAACATATTTATTAACTAACCCACTCCACATTATTTATTAGCGAAAGGGGTGTTTAACAAAAATAACAACAACATGCTAATGCACTTCTACATACATATATTATATTCTCCCACTTGCACTCTCTCACTTGATTTGCACTCATTTTTTTCTTGTTGTTGCTTATAGGCAAATATAAACAAAAGCAATAACAACACAACAACCTGCCGCCAAAACTACATTTTTTTCTTACATTTCTTGTATTACATATTTTTTTTGGCAATTTTTTGCTAACTTTTAAACACTTTTTTCTTGTATGAATTTAACACTTTTCATAAATTTTTTTATATAAAACTATTAAGCTCTTTTTAAATAACAAATAAATGCAAAAATAT